TTCAGTGAGACATTTCCAACTCCCCATTTTGTTTTAATACTGGCAAGCTGTCACACTTCCAGTGTACAGTGGTTTTGGTTTGGGGTTTTTTTGAGGGTGGCCATGTCATTGATGAAGACTGGGGGTTTTTTGAGGGAAAAAAGTGATCAAGTAATCTTGTATTCTTCTGTACGTTCATGTTTGTATTATAAAGCTACTACTTTAAAATGCACGGATGGACCATATCTTGTAGATATGTTTTAGATTTGTAGGACTGAAATTTTTTGAATCATCCAAAAACATGCAGGTAGACAGACTTTCCTTCTTCCATTATGGCTGCAGAATTCACTGTTCTCTCTGCAATGTTAGGGGTTTAAAACTTGTATTCTTTACTGGAGTGCAAGTACAGAGTCATTGTTACCTGCAGCAGTTTGTATTTTGCGTGCCAAAATTATGAAAGACCCCCTGATGCTTTAGTGGTCCAATGCTGAGGTGGATTCAGTAGGGGTGCAGAAAGCCTCACAAAGAAGATTTCAGCTCTGTAGTATTAATGCAGCAGAAGGGACAGCAAGAAAAGGATGGTAGCTTGAGGATGGCGCTTAGTGATGTTTGCTACATTTAAAATCTTAGAGCTGCAGAGCCACAGCAAGGATGAGGCAAGAGGGTACCCCCAGTTTATGTGCTGCTATACACTGCCCGGGAAGGAAGGTGCAGGACCATAGCAGTAAGTCAGGAAATCCATAGGTGATGGGTGGATGTAGCTGTATGTCTTAGAAGCCAACAGGTCTCACTAGGAAGTCATACATGAACTGTCTAGAAATTAGCCAGTCCAGGTACAAATAAGAGTGATGTGCTGAGAGCTCAGAGCTTACACATACTGCACAGCCTTGCTGGAACCTCAGGGAAGATTCTGAGCAGCTAGCCTACACCATATTGTCAGAACAACACTCTCCAACATTAATGAGCTTAAAGTCAGTCTGGGAATGTCCTCCTGCTCTGCTGTTGCACCTCTGTGAGCTGCATTCATATGTCCCCTAGACCCCATGGTGCCATCATGTCTCTGTTCATTGACAGAGCACAGGTTCCACTTCATCTCATTTCCTTCTTTTCTCCCTCAGCAACATGCAGAAAAGCAGCTGGTGGGAGAGTTGGTTATGCTGCTTGACACCAGCTGAGAGCTCCCTCATGCTACAGAGAATTATAGACCTTACATTACGGTCCCCGAGCAGTGAAGTGGCAGGAAGAGAAAGAGGGATTCTGGCATATGGCTGCATGTGCTGTCTTCATGTTGAAAAGCTTGAGCTGGAACAGCCGCTGAACCCAAGACTGAACAGGACAAGCTCTCTGGGGTGTTAGGGATCATATGGTTACGTGAGCTTGGGACAAAACTCTACAGAGGAGCCAGGCAGAGGATCTCATAGATAGAAAAAAGAAGTAGTTAAAGCAAAGACTTAGGGATATTGATAAAGATGTTCTGAAGTTCTGATGTGACTTTCTCTATCCTGATCTGAGCAGCTGGTTACTCCCATTTCCAGCATGCTGAGTTGGTTTTAGCCTTTCAACTTCACTCCGTAACCCTCCCTCTAAGTCCATGCCTCCTTCCCTGCTTCTCTCCCTTCTTCCTTCCCTCTCTCAGAAAGCATAGTTTTGGAGACATCAGGAATAAGTATCTTATCTGAAATTAAAAAACAATACATAAAAAAATAAAAAAGGTTAAAGTAGATGAAAAATGCTGAGGGGAATGTTAACAGAGAAAATAAAACTCTCAGGGAAACTTTCTCTCTTAAAGCCTGTACAGCTGATAAGTTGGGTGATATTTAGTTTGTTTATTCTAGGTATATTTTAAAATTCTTCTTACAGACAATTGACAGAATACATACCATTGCTCTACATGAATTGTACTGGGGATATTTTACTGAAATAATAATTCTTGCTCCCATCTTGTTTGTCCCTAAATCCCAGTGATTGAGACTCTCTTACCAGTTATGTAGTAGCTTAATTTACTGTAATTTAGTTCTGCATTGCTTTAAATGGCTTAATTACTTTCTAATTATTTTTGGCTGTGGGAGGAAGCCAGGTGAAGGCAGAAAAATGAACTGCTATATATTATTTGCAATCTAGTAAAGTTACAGTTTTATTCCAAAGTCAAGGTTTTCTTTTGCTTGGCATTACATGGAGAGTGAAAATCCAAACAGACAAGGGAGGAGGGAGAATTGTATTGTTATTAACTCTGTTTGGACTGAAGAGGTGATTAAAGATGGATCAATTTACTGCCTGTCAAAAAGAAAGTCCCTTTCAGAATTAATGTTCCAGTTCACCCTACCAGCCCCCAACAGACTCATCCTTGTCGTACCTTTATTTTCTTATAAATAATGGCTCCTATGTTGCTGTTGAGCCTATTTCATTCATGAGTAACATGAACAGCAGACTGAGAAAACTCTCCACTGCAATGTGAAAAGCGTAATACTCCTAATTTCCAGTTCTTTTCCCAACCCTGGTTTTGATAGGTTTCTCATTACACACTTCCCCTCCCAGACCCCCAACAAACATGGGATTTACTTGCCTAACCTCAAGCATCTAATGATGTTTGAAATTTCCTAGGGTATCGCACCCAGTTTGTCTCAGAGCAAGGATTTTCACTCCACTTTACTTTGATCCACATTAGGTACTCCCAAGACTTCCATGCCAGTTTGCTTAATATTTCATTAAAAAATTCCTCCTCACCTATTCTCCTCCTGTCCTCTTCATTCTCCAAAATCCCTCAGCAAAAAAATTCTCCAGACTTTCATAAAACAAGCTCTAAAACTGTCACATCTATGAAATAGTCTAGCTTTCATGAAACAAAACCCAACGGTAGCATTTCCTCTAGTGAAAAGTAACAATTAGTTGCAATGTTGTGTAGCGTGCCATACCCATATATCCTTGTTTTACCAATGTATGAATATGTGCATCTTTATCTAGAAAGGTATATGATATACTTATGTGTATATATATATATAAGGCTTAAAGATGCAGATTCGTCTGTGATTATTTTAGTCTGAAAAAGCCAAAAAAATCAACATAGGTTATGTGCTAGGTATTAGTGTTAGTGCATGCATACACATGCACACAAACACTTTCCAACAACTAACATAATATCGTGGTGCTTGGCTCATTCACATCAAAGAAGCCAAAAGAGTGCATTAAAAAAAAAAAAAAATGTCAAAACTTCAGGCATCAGGCTCCAGACCAATGGTACAGATTACAAAAAAAAAAAAAAAAAAAAAAAAGCTGCAGGCCAAGCATTGCTATGTTTGCCAGCCTTGACATATTGCATGACAGCATAATACATTTAGCCCTAATCTAATGCATAACCCCATTGTAATTAAAATCTAGCACATTTTGCACAAGGTCACATTTAGTTGTATTGACCATTGTGATGCTGGAAAAAGATTTATGAAGATGGTTTGAAATGTCTCAAGTGTTAAAGCAAATAGATGTAAAAAGTTTCCTACTTGAAAAACAGCTACGGAATTGTCCTTTTCTTTTGTGATTTCTGTACAAAATCTCTCTTTGTCTGATGGCTCCTGTACACCAGTCAGAAAATGCTCTGTGCCATTATCACTAAATTTAAGGGTTTTGAAATGTCAGCTATAAAGTAAGGCTACAACAGCGTGTTAAGGTTTTTTTTCTTTTTTTTTTCTTTTTTTTTTCTTTTTTTTTATACATAGCTGAATTTTGTGGATATTCTAAGAACTTCAGGACAGAAACACACCAATTTTTCTTCTGCCTTCTGATGTGATTCCTTTGAGTCCTTTACTAGCCTGAACATGGTTATGAACTGGTTTTCTTTTTCCATTCTTAAAGTAGATAGAGTGGGTATGGTGTGAGTTGGTTAATATCGAGATGCAAATTGAATACTGCCAGTGCTGGCTTTGTGAAAGACTAGTATTTGGAAGCTGCAATCATATCTGAAGAAGTTTGAATTCTCATTTAAGAAAACACTTACGTGCCTCTTTCTAGGTGTGTAAGGCTTAAAGAAGCAAACATCTTTTGCATGAAAATTTAATATTACATTTGGCTCTAAATACCATTTGAGCACCCTGCACTGTCTGAGTCTGCTTCAGCAAATGGAAATAACCAATTACAATGATAGTTTGGTCACTCCTTCTTTTTATTTTCCTGTGGTTACATCCTCAGTAACAGAAGAGGAAGTAAAAAGCAGTAGTTCATTTTCTAGCAACTATCCAACTTCTTGAATAAATTAGTATTCTGATGATAATGATTGTCAGTACATAATTGGGGGGGGGTAGATTTCAATACAAATGTACTAAAATAGAAAATAATCTTCAACCAAGTTTCTGCGACTTAAGGTAGAATGGATTACAGTTTGAGATGAGATCACATAAATTTAGGTTTCTACATGTTAGTGTCTGCAGGTATCATGGTTATTTTCTAACGATGAGGCTTTAGGCTTTCATTATAGTCAGTGAAGCTCTAAACAATTTGTTCAGTGCATCTTAGACAATTGGCCAGTTTATCTTAAAGCAGACACATAACTCTGATCAGGTAAATATCTATCTAGACTCCACAGATTACAGAGACTGGGGTTTAGGCTGACTATTCCATTTCTGTTGCCTATGTCTAGGTGTCTAGCATCGTTTTGTTAAAGGCCAATATCCTACTCCAGATCTGGGAGACAGTGAGGCCATCTGAACCAAAAGTTCCTGGAATTCATACCAAAGGGTCAAGTTATCTCACTAATCACAGTTATCTCACAATAGTTGAGTTTTGAAAACTCCCCATTTGCTGGCCATTAGGCAGCAAATTGGGTCAAGGGAAGGAATGGAATATAGCATAGCAAAGTGATCTTCCATTGCTAAACTCAGTCTTTCTCTATGGCTAAGAGTTTTCAGTTAGGTAGTTACCTTGGCTCAGCTGCCATTAAGTAAATTTTTGAACAACAATAAATTGTTACATGCCTGAGTCTACAGCGCATTAAAAAAAAAGTAAAAATGCGAAAACAATGTACACACCAACACAGAATGTTCATACTTGAATTTTTTTTTTTCAGAAGATAAATATGCAAATTTTATGTATCTCAGCTCCAACACTTGATGTTGACACTCTCAGCTTCAAGAGTCTACTACCAGTGAGACAAAGAACTTGTAAAAAAAATTATTTTTGCAATTATTTTTGCTCAGGGAATGAACTTTAATAGAAGGAAATCTGGAATGGATCCAGCGTATGAACCACAGTACCTTGACTTGTGGCCACAGCTAAAAAGCAGCTCCATGCAAAGCCCATATGGATGGTCTAATGATAATCATTGAAAAAGTGGGATTCTGGATGGTTGCAGGAGATGTATTGCTGTAATTTTGAAACCTGCTGGCAGAAAGGCAACTGTAACCAGGAGTAATGAAGCATTTGGTACTGTCTAAAGGCAGAGAAAACTGGGAAATTCTGCTAAGTGAGTTATGGGCATTGTCAAAACACTTACAGTCCAGCCATGTTATAGGTAAAGTGGCAACCCAACAATCACACGTAAGACAAAATACACCACAGAAAGCTAAAATAACAGTGGAGGGAGACAAGCTGCTAGCTAAACTGTGTTTATTTAAATCTCCGGGGAAGATTGCCTAGTTTAAGTGGCTAAATTTCTTATACTAAACATTAACCAATTATATTGCTCTATAGAAATAAGAGCCTTCTCTTGAGGGCAATACACAATGCCAAGATTGTTTCTTCCTAAGAAATGTTCCCAGAAGAATCACTACTGACTACATTTTAACTGAATAATCCTGTAATATGGTGTTGCCATTGGCAGCAACAGGTCATAAGTTTTGTACTGAGTTTTCAAGGCCTCAGGACTGAAGCTTTTCAGCCTTGTTGTCTGAACCTTTCTTTACCAGCTTTGTTTTACTTGGTTTATCTGTGACAATAATTTCTCTTATTAAATAGTTGTCTATAATTGATTTACTTTTTTTTTTTTTGTCATGAGTCAAAACAGAGTTTTATATAGGTGACAATAACAAGCAGTTATTCTATGCAGAATACATTAGTAATCACTATCACGATGATGTGTAGAGAAATGCAGGCCTTGTAAAGTAGAAGAGACATTGAGAAGTAGAGACACAAGATGCATCAGAAAGGAAGGCAGGCATGGGGTGATAAGGGATGGGGCAAAGACTTGGCACGGGAGACCTCAGAGCTATAAATAACTCACCAACAGTCAATTAAAGAAACGCAGACATGAAGCTGGACAAAACTGGGTTCAGAGGGAACAAAGAGAATACAGAAGTAGTGTCTAACACACATAAAAGGCACCACATACAGTAAATCCAGGGGTAACATGGAGCTGTAGATCAATGGAGAGAGCAAAGGTATGAAAGTGTACTACAAAACATATAAAAATGTTGATCCAGGTGGATCCTGGAGTGGAAAGAAACCATCACCATTGTATTACTCCTGTTGAAAGAATGTGGGTGCTGACAACTAGCCGTAGCACCCCCAACAACACCGCCAGAATAAAACCACTGGCCCCAGGAACAGTGGTAGAAACTAAATAGTCTGCATAAAACAATTTTAACTGCATCATTTTTTCTTTCTTTTTCTGTAAACTAGATCTGGACTAATAACAATTTGACTCTTAAGGTTTCAGTTACACTGACAAAAATTTCTTGGCATTACATATGTCTAAGATGTGTTTCGTCTTTCCCATAACAAGATCTTTAACATAACAATGTGCAGGCCTGACAGAGGAAACATCCAAACTTAATGTAAATTTCATACCCTCATTATGATAATATCAAAACTGTCTGGGGGTTGAAAAGACCATGATTTTTGATTGCATATGTGTGGTGTTCAGGGTCAGATGAATAAAAAGATTTTCTTTCTGTGTGAAATGTTGAAGGTTTAAAATTTGTTTTCTGTTCCATTAAATGAAATGAAGATCTTAAGAAAAAAGATACAAAAATTTATTGAAAAAAATCATTGTGTTGTAGTGTCCTAGTTTCAGCTGGGAAGAGTTAATTTTCTTCCCAGTAGCTGGTATAGTGCTGTGTTCTGGATTTAGGATGGGAATAAAGTTGAAAACACACTCATGTTTTAGTGGTTGCTGAGAAGTGCTTACACTAAGTTGAGGACTTTTCAGCTTCTCATGCTGTAATGCCAGCAAGGAGGCTGGAAGTGCACAAAAAGCTGGGAGGGGACACAGCAAGGGCAGCTGACCCAAAATGGCCAAACCATACCGTGTGACAACATGTTGAACAAAAACTCAGGTGGTTGGCTGGGGGACAGGGGCCGCTGCTCGAGAGCTGGCTGGGCATCAGTCAGCAGGTGGTGAGCAATTGCATTGTGCATCACTTGTTTTGTATATTATTTTATCTTTACTATTTTTTTCCATTCCTTTTCTGTCCTATTAAATTGTCTTTATCTTAACCCACAAGTTTTAACTTTTTTTTTCCTGATTCTCTCCCCCATCCCACTGTGAGTGAACACTGTGTGTTGTTAAGCTGCCTGCTCGGTTAAGCCACAACAGTCCTTTTTGGTGTTCAATGTGAGGCTCAAAAGTTTGAGAAAACAACAGATCGGACCAGACTGTGTTAAAACTAATTTCTCAGAAGCATGCATTATTAAATTAATAGTTGCTGATCGCAAAGTTGATTTATTTGCTCTCAGAGTTGTACTTGTTCTCAGAGTTGTGCTATGTAATACCTTCTTTGCTGTATGTGTTCCCTTTCGCCAGACTGTGTTAAAACTAATTTCTCAGAAGCATTCATTATTAAGTTAATAGTCGCTGGTCGCAAAGTTGATTTATTTGCTCTCAGAGTTGTTGTACTTGTTCTCAGAGTTGTGCTATGTAACACCTTCTTTGCTGTATGTGTTCCCTTTCATGCTGTTTATCACTTCTGGGGGCTGGATTAAGGTTATCATTTTGCTGTACTGTGTAAGACTGGCTTATGACATGATGAAATTACTGGTCATGAGACTAATCTGGTATTGTATTTAGCATTGCCATCATCTCTGTACTTTGGGAAACATCTCTTGGCAACTATTAATAATTACACTCTTTACCTTTTCTCCTCAGAGAGCCAATTTATGGGAGACACAAGGAAGGACACTTTGTTCTGTTCCTTCACCTTCCCCTTTTCTTCCAGGCTAGTTAAAACAGCTCTTGAGAATTTTGAATATCCTTGGGATGTTCAAACCAACATGTTCCTATTACTATGTCTCCTGAATGTGTTTCAGGTCTCACTTAAGGTTAAACAACTATTTAAGAATACCACCCAGAGCTCTGCCCTGAATCTGGATAGTTATGAGTGGCAGGGTGTGGGGGGTATATGGGCAAGTACCTAGGGGAGGTGGGCATCTCCAGTGTTTTGGAACTTCATCTCTGATCAAGTGCAGAATCCTGAAAAACTAGTAAAATATTTGGAAAAAGTATACTGTCACCCTGGCAATTCCATAGAGACCCGAATCACTGCAACGTGCTGGCGCCTGACCTATGCCTACCAAGCCCTGTTTAACACTACTCGGTACCCTCAAGGGGAAGAGAAGGTCTCTGGATCTAACAACAAAACAATAGGTGCTGCACCTACTCCAACCCCACAACAGGCACTACAGCTATTCCAACTCTCGCAACAGGTACTGCAGCTGAACCAGAGGGCCTACCCATGCCTGTATCAGTTGCCGTGAAAGTCAGCTTGTTTGGAAATGGAAGAAACTCTCACTAAGAAGGGGAAGGAGGAAGGAATGTTACTCTGAAGCACGGCCATCATGAGAAGAAGAGAAGAAAGAGGCAGAACTCATAAACAAGGCAGTAACTACCCGATTCCTATCCCTGAGTGAGCTGCAAGATATGCAAAAAGATTTAACCTGTTGTCCAGGTGAGCACATTGTCGCCTGTCTGTTCTAATGCTAAGATAATGGGACCAGCAGCCTGGAATTAGAGGGTAGGGAAGCCAAGCAGCCAGGATCCCTTTCTAGGGAAGGGGGCATTGACAAAGAACAAACCCTCAGCCTTTGGAGGTGACCTACTGCCAGATATGAAGAAATGTATCCCTTCAAGGAAGATGTTACATGTCACCCAGGCAAGTGGACCCTGGAGAGTCATATCCTGTACCAAGAGGATGAGCCATGCTGGAGGTGATTGATGATGAGCTAGACAATGAGCAGTTATCCAAAGATCCAGATGAAGTCAAGTGCACACGACGCATGTGGTGGAAGTTTGTAGGGAATGCACCACTGTCACAGGCCAACTCAGTAATGACCTGGAAAGACAGAGAGGGACAGATGGTGGATGAATTGGCTGGAAAACTCTGGAAATATAAACAAGGTCTCCCTTCTTGCCTATGGGTCTGCACCTCAGCTGTGGAGAAACTGTCCCAGGAGTTCCAGCAATTCAAGGAAGATATGCCCTACTCCCCACCTGTATGGAACGGTATCTCAGCCATTAGGAATAAGCATTCTTCTGCTCAAGAGAGAGGATATAGTGGGATACACACCACAGGACACCCTGTGATTTTACCTGCGTGACCATGGACAGGACATGAGGAAGTGGAATGGAAAACCTACCTTGACCCTACAGGGACAGGTGCGTGAGTTGCAAGGACAAACAGTTACAAAGAGATGTTCTTCCAGGAAACTTGCTGCTCCAGTTTCCAGTGGGCAGTTCCCCAGAGGAGAAGAGCTGAATTGGAATTCTGATCTTAATGAAAGAAGTCCTGACTTGTATTTACAAGACATGAGTAGTCAATACTATGACCAGGACTAGAGGGGCCCTGCCTCCAGCCAGGTGGAGGAAAGGGACAACTGTTTTTACAGGACGGTTTGGATTTGATGGCCTGGCACATCTGACCCACAGGAGTATAAAGCTCAAGTGGACACCGGTGCACTGTGTACACTAATGCCATCAAGCTATAAGGGGACAGAACCCATCTGGGTTTCTGGAGTGACAGGGGAATCCCAACAGATAACTCTGTTGGAAGCTGAAGTGAGCCTAACCAGGAGTGAGTGGCAAAAGCACCCCATTCTAACTGGAACAGAGGCTTCGTACATCAGACTACTTCAGGAGAGGGTATTTCAAGGGCCCAAAAAGGTATCAGGGGCTTTTGGCATAGCTGCCTTGAAGATGGAAGAAATTAAGCAGCTGTCTACCTTTCCTGGTCTCTCAAAGGACCCTTCTGTTGTGGGGTTGCTGATGGTTGAAGAACAACAGGTGCCGATTGCCACTTCAACTGTGCACAGGTGGCAATATCGCACCAACCGAGACTCCCTGATTCCCATCCATAAGCTGATTCATCAACTGGAGAGCCAAGGAGTGATCAGCAAAACCTGGAGAGTGGAGGCTAACAGTAGGCCTGAATGAAGTGGTGCTGCCGCTGAGTGCTGCTGTGCTGGACATGTTAGAAGTTCAATAGGAACTGGAGTCAAAGGCAGTCAAGTGCTACGCCAGAATTGCTATTGCCAATGTATTTTTCTCAATACCTTTGGCAGCGGAGTGCAGGACATGGTTTGCTTTCATTTGGAGGGCTGTCCAGTACACAGAATTGACTGCCCCAAGGGTGGAAACACAGCCCTACCATTTGCCATGGACTGATCCAGATGGCACTGGAATAGGGTGAGGCTCCAGAACACGTGCAATATATTGATGGCATCGTTGTATGGGGCAACACAGCAGAAGAAATTTTTGAGAAAGGGAAGAAAATAGTCCAAATTCTTTTGAAAGCTAGTTTTGCCATAAAACAAAGTAAGGTCAAGGGACCTGCACAGGAGATTCAATTTTTAGGAATAAGATGGCAAGATGTATGTCATCAGATCCCAACAGATGTGATCAACAAAATAACAGCTATGTCTCCACCAACTAGCAAAAAGGACACAAAAAGTTAATCATGTTGTCAAACCTTCAGATCTGGAAAAACCTCATGTTCTGTCTGATTCTTACATTTCATCAAGCGATTAATTCATAAGGGTATATTTCTTGAACTTTTTTGTTTGTTTTTATGATGGATTCCCTCTTTGAAATCAGGAATGTTCTTCAAAGTCTTCAACTATGTTTAGTGAAGACAAGTGATAAAATATTTATTACTGTTCATTCAGTTAATTATTGACCTGTAGCCTTTGCTGATGTTATCCACAATATGTTTGATAGAAGTCTTAGAAGCAAGACAGAGTTGGATGCACATGGAGACAGATCTGTTGCACATAGGAACTGTCCTAACAGAGTTCAAACATAATTGCAACTATTTTAGAGAGACCCTAATTCAATAATATCTCTTCCTCACCCATCAGGAACTGAATAGAACATTTCAGAGTTTTTTTTTTTCATTGGCATTGCATTTACTTTCCTGATTGAGACCTATGTAAGTACCAAGGAATAGTTAGCAGATAGAGGGTTAAAATTGCACCAGTGTGAAAGATGTTCTTTGCCTACCTTGAGAAAGGAGTTAAAAAACTTGGAGGGATTTACCTTAAGAAGATTTTGAGCATTTAATTAGCCATGGGGTAGTGTGAAGACCTTGGCAGACTTGCTCATATAAGTAAGTGAAAATTAAGAGTCTGATTCATTCTACATTTAGACATTCACCGAAGTGTTACAATTATGACTCTGGCTGTTTCAAATTATCTCCTGTGTCATCAGAGAGAGAAGTCTGCCTCCACAGAGATCTAAGATCTAAATTATTTTCAAAGCATACTTCTCTTTGCATTTACTGTAAGCAAGGTCTAAGATAACCAGCAAAGGCAGCTCCTTAAAATGCTAATGTTGGAGGAAATTAATCCAGGTATAAGGTTGGCTATCAAGTTAAGTTCTGGTAAATTCTATGAGGATATCAGCAGTGTTCAATATGGTGGATTACGTGCTAAAGTCATTATAGAGGTTGAAGCTTTAGCATCATGTGAAAAATAAGTGAAAGTGTGACCTCCCAGGCTATAACTTCTAATATGATTGAACTCCATGTGTATTACAGGCTGACATAATCAAGTTGTCTTTAATTTGAAAAGAATGCGCCTATCTCAGTGTGGTACTAACCTACCTAATAGGCTCCGGTCGTTCTGTACCATGAGGTTGAATTTTGTTACGATCTGTGCTGGCTCACATCCTGTTTAGAGTACTCACCTGTTTAGAGTACAGATAAACCTTGCAGATGACCCAGTACAAGACTCAAATTTCTAAATGTTTTAAGAATGCTGGAAAATGGTTTTTAATGCATAT